AGAAGGTCGAATCGATTTTCCCTTATCAACCATATTGATGGTAACCTCTGGGGGTTCGTCACCTTGAACGACCGATCGTTTCTTACGGAGATGCTTTGGATTGGACTTAGCCTTTCCGTTGGAGATCCTCTCAAATATTGAGACCCTCTGCGGAGCGGTCTTGGGGCAGCTACACGCTGATAATATTGCCCTGATTAGTTTGGTACACGGACAGTGACAATCGGCATCCCGGGTACCTCTCTTTCGAGATTTATTCGTACCCCCAGCCCGATAGTACAACTCATCGACGTTGCAGTCAGAGCAACCTATCGGCTGTTTACATGAATTCTCAGGTATAACGCGTTCATCTGTCTGACGTGTTTTCCTCTGAGTAAACATCGCCTTGTTGGCGTCTGCGGGAGTCACACGTTTAGAATCACACCTTTGTGAGGGTGAAACCTTAACGGGCTCCTGGTTTTCTGTACGCATCCCCAAGCGGGCCGTTGCAGAAATCAACTTGTTAGGTCACGTACGACCCCCAGTCTGGATGTTTGCTCGGGGTTCCTTTAATGGTCCCAAGCCTCAATCTTTGGGTAGAGAACCGGGGCGATCCTTCAGAGGAATCCTGAACTTGGGGAAATCCACGCTGCGGTGGGGCTTTACCGGAGGTTCGGGATCTGAAGTTGACAAAAGCTTAATGATAGTTCCGTTTGTTTTTGCCTTAGGCGCTGATTTAGCTTTTGGCATCCAAACTTATTTGGATCTTGGCGATTTCTTAACTGCCTCTTCCTTTTGCATTTCATGTGCTTTTCGCACAAGGATTCTGGCATGCGCAAGCAAGGCGTGGCGCTTCTGGATTCGCTCCTCGAGAGTAGAGTGGGTTCGTTTGACACGAACCCATTCGTTAATCGAATGTCGGGAGGAGGATCCCGATGCTGGTCGTGGCGATAGATTAGCCACTTGGCGCTTTATGAACTCCAGATCCGCTTGGTAACAGAGTCCGTCTACCTGACCCAAGGCCTTGGCGAATTGACACGCGAGGCGTTGGCGTTGCCTTTGACGTGCTCTATTTGATAGAGTTAGTGCGCCTTCAGCAGTCGACTCCTTGATCGCGAAGGAGTTTAGATCTGCAGATCTGGTCTCATTGGATGCCGACGGACGGTTGCAAGGCACGACTGTAGCATCGACTACGGGGAGATCGACTTCTTGGGTCTTCAGATCTGGAGACCGGCGAATCTTTTGGGAGAAGGAGATCATCCTGCGCTTATGAGGAGGAGCAGATCTGGAGGAGGAGGAGGAGATGTACTCTTCAAATTTCTGCTGGTCGAATTCGTACTCGACCTCTTCAGCCACGAGGATCTTGATCGTCGGCGCAGTACGACAGCCTCGGCAACGAGGCTGTTGGCTCCCACTGTGGTCGCCAGTTTGTTTGCGGTGAAAGTTGATGTTTTGATTCATTACAAACTTCAGACGTTTACAAAGAAAACAAAAATTAGTCTTTTTATAAGACTTTTACACAATGAAAACAAAACAAAAGTACAATTCTCTTCAAACAACGCAGAGATCGTTTATCGGTCTTCTGCTTGCGTGAGATCTTGGCTTATGACAAGGATGTTGATATCCGTGGACCACCGTCGATCAGATCTGATTAATGAAAAATCGGGCAGAGCTTCGTTGATTCGCGAAGGAATCAAGAAACCGTAGTGCTTATCTCGGCAACGGCGAGATAATTGCTCTTCTTAAGATTATCGCAACGGGATAATCTTAAGGCGAGATAATTGCTCTTCTTAAGATTATCGCAACGGGATAATCTTAAGGAACGGACCCGGTGAACTGCAGATCTGACGAGCTCCTCTTCTTTATGTCGCAACGGGATAATCTTAAGGAACGGACCCGGTGAACTGCAGATCTGACGAGCTCCTCTTCTTTATGCCGACGAAGTCGATCAGATCTCTACTCCTCCTCTCTGAAATTCGTGCACTTTTGATCTTCAATCCGACAGGACTTCGCCAACGCTCAAGAATTCCAGATCTGAAAAAATGAAGGTCCCCGGAGCTGTATTTATAGGCTCCGGGGAATCCAGACAGTTAAAACCACATCACAGCCAAAAATCCCATTTATTAGGGTTTAAGACACCCTTGGGTGTCTCAGCGAGGCCGAGACACCTTGGGGTGTCTTAGCTTAGGCTGAGACAGTCCGTTTTGCGTGCTTGTCCATTTCTACCGTAACTTCTTCATCCGAACTCGGATTTGAGTGATTCAAAGTGCGTTGGAAAGCCGACGAGGAGATCTACAAGCTCCCATGATTGGGTCATCTGTAGAATAAATGAGATACGAAGGGAGTTTTGCCTTTTGTAAGCGACATGAGGCTCCCGGTCAGTTCGTATCCTCGTTATTCTGAAACTCCGTTGCTTCACGTAGTTCGTCGATTCACTTCAAGCGTTCGTCGACGTCAATCAAGCTTCCGTGACTTGGATAGTGATGTTCATCGTCTTCTCTTAGCTTCGAGCTGTTCGTGGAGACCTATAGGTAATTTTCGACGCCTATAATGATTAATCAGTGTGTATTGCTATTCTTAAGAATAATCCGCATAAAGTGATCAATCAATTTGAGTTAATGAGTGTTTAAATAAATCATGGGCTAAATGTGCAGATACCATGTTGTAATTATAATTTGATGAGGGACCAAATTATAAAAGTACAACACCTATAAATATGGTCCCTAATATAGGGTTAACATTCTCTATTCTCTTATCTCCATCTAAAAAGATTCTTAAGGAGAGACCCTCAAGATTAGAAGATCATAAAAAAACCTAATTCAGATCCGTGTAATGGATTCAGGTATAGCTTCCGCTCTTGTTGTTTTAATCTCTTTGGATTAATCACGGTTATTAGATCTATATTAGATCGATTAAGTTCAACAGAATATATGTAGAGAAACCAAAACCCTATCTCTAGCCTAACTTTCTAATTAGAATATGATTCAAACTTCTAATCATGATGAGCTAGACCCAGTCTTCTAATCATGATAAATCTCTAACCCTATCTATTTCTCATGAAATTATACAAAGAATTAAAGACATAATCCCTACAGTAGTTTGATGGAGTATATGATTTGATGCAAGAAGGGTGCAAAATAGTCCGTTTTTGCTAAATACTTAGCAAAATAGACCGTTTTGCTAAATAATTAGCAAAATAGACATTTTTTTGGCCAACAGGCCAAAAAAAGGTCTATTTTGCAAAACAGCTCAGAAAACATACGGGACTAGTAGTCCCGTATGTTTTAAGCACGGATTAGTGAAATCAGAAAATTTCATAAAACATTGAGATGAACTCAGAAAACATACGGGACTACTAGTCCCGTATGTTTTCCGAGTCACTAATCCGTGATTAAGTTGGCTCTAAACGTACGAGACTAGTAGTCCCGTATGTTTTCTGAGTCTTGTTTTTCAAAATCGACCTATTTTTTTTTTTCAAAAGAGATCTATTTTGCTAATTATTTAGCAAAACGGTCTATTTTGCTAGATACTTAGCAAAAACGGACTATTTTGCAAATTTTCCCATGCAAGAACCGCGATGATAAGCATCAACGTATTATTAAGAGAAGGAATGCAACATAGACTTATGTTTGGATCGTCATTGATCGTTGGATTGGTCTAAGACGAAGAAACAATGAGTGAAGTATGAAACTATCGTTACTAAATTCAATATTTAGCTCAAAGGACAAGTTCAAATTCTCCTACAAGCTCAATGGGGGAAAGTTCAACATTTAATCCGTAGTTAGGTTTTAGGGTTTAACATTTCTCCTAAGCTAATATATGGATGCAGGCAGGCTTGTATATGTTTTGGTTTTGTACTTGGATTTTCAGAGAGCAAAGCACAAGTTTGTTATGCATGTTAGGGTCATTGCTCTTTTTTTTTAAACAATGATATTGGGAGAAATTACAAATAAGTCAAACCAAACGTATGAATCCCAACTTCACAAAAGATGCCCCGTCTGAGAAACAACTTCATGTGCGTTGCCTTCAGTCAACATTCTAGTAAATTAAGGTACAAACTATTTCATTTTTTCCCCCTGTTGAAGAATAAGAGGATGAATACAGTCAAAGCATATCTTATCCTAAATAAGGATACAATTAATTATCTAAGAAAACGAACTGAGAAAAGCATATTTAGAAAAAGCTTATCATTCATTGAATGAAAATACTTTGCATCCGAATATTCATTCCTCACATTTTGTTACTGTATCAAAGGAGCATGCACTAAATAAATTCTTTCAGATTATAAAAATTTTTAGTTCGTGCATTTAGATCCATGCTTTGTTATATTCAATGAACATATGGGCTGACCTTCAGGCTTCAGCTATATAAACACTACCTATACGTAGGAAAACTGTGTGGAAAAATCTCTATTTCCACCGATCTCTTTTTTCCCCTTCTGATCCGTATATATTTTCTATCCAGTACTGTTTCTCTAAGTATTCATTAATTAAGTTTCTTTTTTTTTCATAAAAAAAATGTCTTACCTTTTTCATGATTTTCTCCTACTTGAACGAGCAAATACTACTTCCTGTTTTCACTCTTATGTTATAGTTTCTCATATCTCAAAATAAATTTGATATTCTAGATACTAGATACGTTCTGGCATTTGTTTACACTATGCCCATTATGACTGTTGATCTAAACTATATAAACGTCTACCCTTCAAAACTCATAGAGTTCTAAGGTTTCCTTGTGTAATAGAAAGAATTAAAAATGATGAGCAAGTTGTGGTCATCTTCTTAATTTTTTTTAAATATGGAAGGACCAGAAGCCCGCCTCGAGGGCTCAACTGGACTATCCGAAGAACAAATAGGCCTCTCGGTCACCCTATCAAAAAGTTCGCGGAACATCCATCTTGATTTAGGAACAACATGGAGGCATACGTTGTTTCTTATCGTATTAAAATTTCAGTTTGGAAAAAGTAAAAACTGATTTACATTTGATTGATTGTAGCTAACTCCCTCTTTGATTCTCTTTTACAGACGCGATATCTTCTCTACCAAGCTTCAACTACCCCAGGATTCGGTTTCCACCCAACCTGGGGAGATGAAGAGCTCATCTCCTACTACATCACCCGAAACGTCGACGAGGAGATAGCTTGATCTACGATCAATCTGGTATGCTTTCTTTTGTTTTCTTCTTTGATTGAGGGGGAAATGATTAAATTTGATTTTTTTTTTTGTTTTGCGAAGAACTGATTTATTGGACGTCAGGTTTTTCAAAAGAGCGGGGTTGGAGCGAAGAGCCGAGAGCAAAGTGCGTCGGTTCTTTATCATCGAAGCTATTGAAGACAAAGAAAAGGAGACGAGGAGAAGCGAGGGCAGCATTGTTTGGTACAAAGTGATCAGGGCTATTTATCATTTGAAGAGGAGTGCTGAGTACTGCCAAGTGAACAAATGAGAAGAAAGTGGAGTCAGAGTAGGGAGATGAATTAACAAAAATATTGAAATAAAAATATTAGTCCCCCGCTCGGCGGAAAAAAAACCTCTTGATCTTGGCATTCTGGAGTACCTGTATAAAGGAGACGGATCTTTTTTCTCTTCTTTTCTTTGTTAAGTAATGATTTGTAAGGATGTGTAAAAAGTGAGGATATTTTATCTCCTTGTAGTTGTTTTCTTTTTTCTTTAAGTGATTTTAGTAGGATGGAATCGACGATATTTTTCAAGGATTATACATTTATATTTTCTTAATTTGCAGATATTACTATTTTGGTCATTGTCGAAAAATAACTTTGCCTGAAGGATCTTTTTCTCTTCTTTTCTTTGTTAAGTAATGATTTGTAAGGATGTGTAAAAAGTGAGGATATTTTATCTCCTTGTAGTTGTTTTCTTTTTTCTTTAAGTGGTTTTAGTAGGATGGAATCGACGATATTTTTCAAGGATTATACATTTATATTTTCTTAATTTGCAGATATTACTATTTTGGTCATTGTCGAAAAATAACTTTGCCTGAAGGATCTTTTTCTCTTCTTTTCTTTGTTAAGTAATGATTTGTAAGGATGTGTAAAAAGTGAGGGATATTTTATCTCCTTGTAGTTGTTTTCTTTTTTCTTTAAGTGATTTTAGTAGGATGGAATCGACGATATTTTTCAAGGATTATACATTTATATTTTCTTAATTTGCAGATATTACTATTTTGGTCATTGTCGAAAAATAACTTTGGCTGAAGGATCTTTTTTCTCTTCTTTTCTTTGTTAAGTAATGATTTGTAAGGATGTGTAAAAAGTGAGGATATTTTATCTCCTTGTAGTTGTTTTCTTTTTTCTTTAAGTGATTTTAGTAGGATGGAATCGACGATATTTTTCAAGGATTATACATTTATATTTTCTTAATTTGCAGATATTACTATTTTGGTCATTGTCGAAAAATAACTTTGGCTGAAGGCCAATGACTCACCTGGAATGTTGTGCGCGGCGGAAGCTTTCTAGGGCAACACGAACAATAACTAAAACTAAACCACAAGCAATATGC